TGACTTTTCTGGGGCGGAAGCTGAAGGTGGTTCTGAAAGAGTTTGGGTGGGAAAGCAAACAAAAGCTGGTTCATGCCCAAGGTACCTGAGTCTGGTTCTCATAAATATGTTCTTGCCCCATTAAGTGGAAAGTGATCAAAATCAAGTCCCAAAGCACAGGAAGTATCCTTGGTGAGTCCTCCTACGGTGTTTCAGTGTGAATCACAACGTACAGGACCGCACACTGTCTGCTCCTGCTGCTGATACCCTTTGCCTCCTCTTAAAAGTGGAGGAGAGTCACGAGATGGAATATTTTCATATATTTCACCTGAAAGGAATAAAAAGCAATAGGAATGGGATTGGTTCTTTTTGTTTCTCTCAAGAAGTTCCCCAGATTTTGAAACATACTGTACAGTAACTATAGCACACTTTATTAACTAATGAATGCAGATGATAAAATTTCTCCCAACTCCGGGCTCTGTTCTTGTATATTGTAGCTGGAATGCTTTGTAGACTAATTCTATTTTTGTAGTTCAGACCTTTACAGTTATCTGTAGTCATTTGGTTTTAATGCTTTCTTACGGTGTGAACTGATTTCTGTAACTTTCATGTATAAAACAAACTGGACATTCTTTCTATACTGGAAATAGTCGCGAATATAATATTTCACTAAGTGTTGTACCTCTTCTGTATATATCATCAATAAATGTTGATTCCTAATTTTCCTGCCTTATATCTGTGAGTTTTGCTCTCAGCCAGGGCTGAATTCTCGCATGATTTGGGTAGGAGTTTAGATAAGCAGATGGATGGATGAGAGAAGCAAAGAGATGCAGGCAGGGCAGAAGGTGGATTTGGGTTTGCCATTGCGCCAGGAATCCACCCACTGAGCTGTATACCCCAAATGTCCCCGAGAACCGGCTGCAGCTGAGCTGATTTGCCATGAAGTCCAGCATCTGCTTACTGCAGTGAAGTCTAGAACAGCCTTGGCAATGAAGGATGGAGGAGGAAGAAGAAATGTTAGGAGAGTAGGAGGATGCGATAGTTGGCTGCAGTTGCTTTAAAAACCTGCTTCACACCTCCGCGTGTCTGAGGCACGCACTGCCAGAGGAAGGATGTTACCACATCCGGGCCTGGCCCTGTTCACATACACTGCTGCCATTATGACTCCAGTCTCTTTAGCACTCGCTATTCCCTGTTACTTGCAACTTGAGAGCAGAAGAGATGAGATTTGAGGACTGCTAGAACTCAAACAGCCTCCTCTGTTGTACTGGTGCCTGTAAACAAGACAAGGTTGTGAAAGAAACAGGTATCCCCAACGTGCCATGCCTAAGGAGGGGAAGAGCATTAAAAATAACCTCTAGACAGGCTGCTGGGCACCTCTGCACCAAGCACAGGGCTGGAGAGGACAAGTCAGGTTTGGGGTTGCTGTGCTGAGGGGAAGCGAGGGCAGCCGTGTGGGGCCTGCTGGCACCGGACCTCGCCGCACAGCAGTGTGCAGCCACAAGGGAAGCAGGAAGGAAGTGAGATTGCACTCGGTATCGGGCTGTGCAGCCACAGAGATGTTGGCATGGCAGAAAGTTTCTGCAGTGATAAGCAAAGCACATCACCAGTGACAGATAGCAAAGCTGGCAACTGAAAGCCACGGGGAGGGGCAGCGGAGGAACCAGACCCCCAGCTTCAGGTGTCTAAGAAAGCATCCTAGGGCCTGCCCTTCACAGAGCTGCAAAGCTGCCTATCCATGGTTAAACTGAACAGAGTGCATCCTCCATTCTCATTTGTGAGACTAATCCACATGGTGCTGGGGTCTTCCTGCCTCATGCTCCCACAGCCCACAGGCAGCAGGTGAGAGGTACTGCTGTGGAGGTGTCCCAGAAGGAGGAGGATTGGCTCCAAACTGAGAGAGCTGAAGAAATTCACCCACAGATTCACTGTGTTTCACACACATTGCCAGGATTACCTGAATCACCAGCTCTAAACAAACTTTCAGCTTACCATTACAAACAATTTTTGAATGTGTGTGTGGAGAATGCTCCAAAAAGGCTCAGTGAGCAAAGCCCTCACCTTTGCAGAAAAGCAGCACAAAGCCAACCCTCTGAGCTGTGCCTGAGCTCTGCTTCTACCACGTGAAGGGCATGTAACCAGCGTGTAGGCTCTGTGCCTGCCTCTGCATGGGGACCTTCACCCTTTGTGAACAAAGGAACACTGGTTTTGAGTCACTACCTGAACAAAAAAGCATCCTCACCTAGAGCGTATTTCAGACTTTCTCTTGAAAAGTGAAATAAAAAATAACTAGAGAACAAACCACAAAAGAAGTGCAGGGAAGTTCCACCATAAAGCTGTTCCCATTGGTGAATCTGACAGCCCACTGCTGCAAAGCAAAATATGCCAAATGGTGGTGATAATTGCAAGGCTGACTTTGCAGGAGTGAAGGAGCTGTGGGGCAACCAGCTGAGATCCTGATCTGTGGGCACTGGGCATGGCTTTGGAAGGCTCAGCTCATCGTATAGGCTCAAGCTGCAGTCTGCTGGCAGCTGTGTCTGTGCTGGCTCCAGAGAGCATGCTGATAGCAATCAGCAGCCCCCAGACAGATGTTTCTTATTAACAAGGACAGGCTGATAAAAAATGGTGAGTATAAACTCAGAACTTAGATCTGATCTCTGGGCAAAACATATCTAGCTTGTTCCACGTAAAATGAAAGCATGGAGTCTTATACACCCAAAGAAAATGTGGTTGATGAAAATTATCTAAGCTTTTTTTGGATTAAGCCAAGAAAAAGAATAGGCTTTTGAGAACGTGGTGCCAGAACGCAGATATAGACCCATGACTGCAAAGTAAATTCAGATTTCAGGCTAAAACTCTGCTGTAACCAAACCACTGCAAGGTGGACATTTAGGTTAAACACCATCCTAGCACAGTAGCCTAAGGCTTTCAGATACAAGGTGCAAACTTACAGTCTCTGGTTGAAAGTGCCTTCTTGTTTCTTCCTCTCTTCTTTCTTTCTCAGAGTTTGAAGGATGTCAGGATTAACTTGGCAGCCCGATCCTTTTGGTGAGTAGAACAACCACTGTCTCTGAGCCGTATGCTGGCTTCCCAGTGCTGCCTACGTGCTCCCAACTTCTGCCGTGTCCTTGGCATTGCAATGCAGCCACCTGACTCAATCCAGCACCAGAATGGAGCTGCTGTTGAGCTGCAGTCTGTTCAGTGGTGCTACAGAGGGAGAATTTTTACTCATAGTGTAAAAAAAATGTTTTAGTTTTCTGACGGATACACTTAAAGTCATGTTGGATCCTGTTTGACTTGACCAGTCCTATTTTTTTTTGTAAATTTCCAGGCTTTTTTTTTTTTTGGTAACAGGAAATAATTTACTTTTAATAATATCACAGTACAAATAGATAGTTGTATTATATATTAGGCATCTTCTCCACCCCTTCGCCCCCCCCAAAAAAATGTAATCTATCAATCAGATATATTAAAACTAAATCAGATATATTAAAACTAAACTATGTCTATTTCTGAAACAAAAAATATTGCTCATTTGACAGCCTTTGTGCACCTGTTTTGATCCATAGCATCATCATCTTCATGTCTTTCTTCTGAAAGAAAACACAAAACTAACGATATTGACATCAAAGTTCAATACACTGCAAAGAATGTGTGAGCTTGGGTTTCAACGCTCCACTTGTTCATCCTGACCCCTTTTGCCTATAGAGTACAAAGATTTAATAAGAAGCGTGCAAAGCCTTGAAGCTGTAGCTTAGACAGAACCTTTCTGTTGGATCCATTCAGGCAAATCTCAGAGAAAGCTGTGTTTAAAGCACGTATAAAGCTTTCACTGCTTTTTCTTCTTCCACTGCACCAAAACAAAAACAGCTCCCTTGAGGTCAGGGCATCTTCAGCTTTTCAAAAAACCATGCTGCAGCACAACTGATCTGTGAAGACAGAAGTCGACTAGAAATCTTGTAGCACACCCAGCTCCAGATGGGAGAGATGGGCAGAGAGAAGACGAGGTGCTGTTAGTCACCTTCGTGTAGCCTGAGCTTTGCCTCTCGTTTCCCACAGTCAGAGCTGGGTGCTTTCAGCAGGGCATTGGTGAGCGCGCACAGACACAGATGAGTAATGGTGAGAAGTAATCTACCAGGGGAAAACTGGTCAAAAGCCATTTGCAAATCAGGTGGTGAATGCAGAAGGTGACCTGGAGGTGGGGGAGTTCACAGGAACAGGCTGATACTCTTTTCCTTATCTGAAACATGAAATCATTCAAATGCCAAAGTTCTGGGGATACTGGGGGACTTTCCCAGTAGGTGGCAAAGAAATTTTGCTCAATCTCCATTTCATCTTCCAGTGACTGTACTCTTCCTTCACCAAAACCTCTGGCTTTCCCACCCCCAAAGTTCCCACTGTTTCATGGTTCTTGCCCCGAAAAAGAGATGAGAGCTTTGTCCCCTATACCCACAAATCTGGAGCTACAACCCAGGAATCTGCCCACGTCAGCATTTCTGCTCCCGTCTCTGTTTCTTTCACCTCTGCAGAGGAAAACACATCAGTACATGTGGTTACTCAAAGGTAACCACATGCTCTTTAACAAATCAAATCTCTTGCAACCAGAGATGTCTGAGCCTTGAACTGTTTAATAAGGCCACGAAATAATTGCTGGCTAACAACCTAATGTAGCATAAAACAAACGGCTGGTGTTGTGTAAGCAGAGGCAGAACAGTGTTCTCAGAGGATTTTATTGCTCCCCTTCATCTATAGAAAGAACAACGAGGAGAAACCCCAACCAGGGTGATGGACAAACCTCTGCCTCTGTGTGACTTTGTCAGAGTCTATGAGACACCTGGAAATTTTCTCTGATAACATTCCATCCAACATACACTCAGTGCACTGGTAGTTGGCAGTCGTGTTTTTTGGCTAAGGACGTGCAGGAGACATCACATGAAGGAAAGAATGCTGTACAGAAATATCACTTGGGAACTGATGTTTTGAGAAGGCTTTAAAACATCCACACAGATAGAGACGAAGGCTGTACATCCTTTCTCTGCTTTAATCAAACATTCCTTTCAGAATCTTCAAGAAAATACAGGTGAAACCATCACCCAGGATTGTTCAATGAAAATATTACATTCTTGTAAAAATATCAATCACCTCTCTTTTAAATATATTTCCTGCTTTAAATGTTATTTCTACCTTACTGCGTTGACCTTAACTTGGACCAAGATTTGTGCTCCTAGGGAACTGAGCTTGTTGCTAACCCCATGGAGATGGGGGCCCACTGGAAGCTGGTGGAGCACGAGAGGTCCCACAGCCTACAGCCAGTTCTGCAAGCAGGAGATCTGCCCGTGGCTCTGTATGACCACACTGCCAAATGCTTCTCCTCTCCCACTAGCCACATTGACCTCACTTACCCTCAACATGGAACCAATTTTATTTTTGGAAGCTTATTTTACAGTTCCATGTGGTATTTTTTGGTAATACTTTTTAAATTACAATTTAGAGATGATATGTTCTTTAACATTGATTAATCTATTAAATAAATATGCAAATATATCTAGTGCTCTATATAAAAAAAATACATACACGCAACAAACAACCCCTGAAATAATAAAACCAAGATTAATAAAAATATGCACTATATTACATGTATGAAATGGCCATCTAGTTTTGAAACTACAATGAAACTTAATTACGCATTATTTGCACAACATAACCTAAAAAGAATCAGCATATATAAAATAATGGCACTGCCTTTTTAAAGAGAAATTGAGCATCTCCATATAACAAATATAACAAGAAGCCAACAAGTACTGTCCATACTTCTATAGGTACTGAGCATTAGATAAATTAGAAAGATTTGGTGGATTTCTCCATCTTCTCATAGAAGATGAATAACATGACCTGGCCCTTTTTATTTTTATTTTTTAAGAACATTCACCCATTAAGACTTATCTCCTTTTGACTGAGGCTTATAATAAATTAAGATTTAAGAAGAGGCAAAATTCTTATTCTGGATCTCCACACCTAGAGAAATACATATGTAACACCAGTTTAAACACAGCCTTCAATAGATTGTTCTGATTTATAATGAGAAATAGAAAATCTGGCCGTATGGAAATTAAACAAAAACCGATGCAGACTGTCAACAGACACAACACAGCTCAGTGTTGAAATATGTGCTTATGGTTGGCTGAGAGGTTTAACAACGGGCCCCATGTACTTGACAGTGTATGTCACCTTGTCCTTATTGACTTCACCTTGTTTGAGCACTCCTGGACTGCTCATAGATGAGACATACAGAGTCAGAAAGCATCCTATGCGCACACTGAAATCACACCTCATCTTGGGACCTTTTGCCCAGGTGCACATTTTCCCTGAGGAGGTCTGCCTGCAGATACCTGGGCTCTGAGCAACTCAATGGAATGCTTGGGAAGCTGCTGAAGGGCTCTAAACTGAGAACCATGATCACAATTTTTGTTGTGCTTGGTGTCCCAGTAAAGATCAATGCTAGCCTATGTTAGCATGTGGCCAGCTGAAAGCCCATCCTCTGCACTGCATCAGATGGAGAGCATAAAGTAACCTGTGTTAGCAGAACATTTTCCAGTGCAGGTGCTGTGGTCAGGGAGCAGATACCTCTGAACATCTCTTACCAAACTTTCCCCATCCCAGCCAACACAGACCTCACTGCTTGCAGTGATCTCCGGTCTTTTTACTTGCATTTTTCTGAGGCAGCCCAATTAGAAGGTACTCTCCACTCCAATATGCTTTCTTAAAAATAGCACAGATCACTGGTAGTAAATAATTTTCTTTCTGGCAGTTCATATCAATATAATGCACAGCATCATTGCTTAATACAAATACTTCACATAACAGACATAGAAGGACAAAACAAAAGTTAATGACAATGCAGATGCAGCTATTTTACTGTATTACATTACTGGGAGAGTTTCCTTACAATTTCATTGATCTTTTCTGTAAAATTTCAACTTCTGTTATCAATAAAAAAACAGTTTTTCCTTTGGCATTTTTGACTAGAAGAAGAAAAAGTGGATGAAATAAATCAGAAGTGAGCAAGATCATACAAAAGTAACTTTTCAAAATATTGGCAAACTGGTGCAATACAACAGTTATGGGAGAAACTGCATCTCCTATTAAAATGGAGCAGGGAGAGAGAAAGACCTATTCTTCAGGAACAAAAATGCTGCCATCATTTCTGATGACTTCCATTTGCTTGATTTGTGCTTGCACAATAGAGCTGGGGTCATACTGCTTTATTAGCTTACTAACTGACTCCTTAAAAAACATACATGAACTGTAATCTGTGAAGGAGGGAGGGGGAAAAGCAACAGACACCTCAGAAAATCAAGGATATATGTACAGATTGTTAAGATAACAAAGAAGTTTATTATGTATCAGCTCATGTTTTCCTCCCTTTGTTCCCCCTCCCAAAAAAAACTTGCTGTATGTCCACAGACATTTTAAAATAGAGATAAATAAACTTTGTCCTTCTGGGTTTCTCTTGTTACAGACCAAGTCATCAATCATTACAAAATGTCACTTTTTGCTTTTACTGGCAGACTTTGAGTGCACCTACCACTCTTCCTGGCTGGAAGGCATTGCTGGTGAATTCTGCTGGGTTAGGCATTGCATAGGAGGCACTTCTGTTTTAAGCCCTTTTTATTTTGGCTCTTGACATCTGTTACTCACTTACTGTTGTACCACGATAAGTTTAGTACCTTAAATGCCTGTAAGATGGAGCAACTGGATGCTTCTGTAACTCCGCACAGCGAAGGCACTGCATCTGGGGAACAATGACATGCCACGTGCCCAGGACACAGTAAGTACCCTCTGTGTAGGAATTGGGAACTGACTGCAACACCTGGGGCTCATTTCAGAAAGCAAATGTCAATTTTGTAACTCAGACATCATGTTAAAATAATTAAAAATAAAGAAAAAAAAATAAGCTTAATTGTGTTCAAAAGACATCAGTAGCACAGTGCATCTGAGAATTCCTGCCCAAGGTCCGTGTGATTTTGACTTTTCCCCAGCACTGATCTATTTGGTGACTTTGTACCGCTACACTCCGCTCTTCATGTCAACTTCATGATTTTGTGTTTCATCAATGGTAAGGAATTCGTCACATGCTCCTGTTTGGTCATTTGACTGTTCTTTGTGAACCAGGTGCACCATTTCTTGAGATTTGCTGGCGTCTCCATTTAACTCCCTTGTCTTCCTGTCCTCCACGGCACCTTTGCCATTATTAATGACTAGCTTTTTCTTCTGCCCACATCTAGATCAAAATAAAAAGAATATAAGTACCATAAATGGAGAGTAATGGAAATACAAAAACTCAAGTAAATATTTATATATACTATATATATAAATAATACGAAACATTCAAGTAAGTATTTAGGAAAATGTTTCTGGAAATGAAACTTGTGTCTGCTAGCGCAAACCTATGCAAAGCAAAGTGCACGGTTTCTCCATGTTGCATATATTATTTTTGAAAAAATGCAGCATTTATGTGCATAAACTTTACAGGAACACACTGGTCCACTTAGTGTCACAGAATCATAAAATGGTTGGATTGAAAGGGACCTTAAAGACCATCCGGTTCCAACCTCTCTGCCGTGGGTAGGATTGCAGCTCATTACATCAGGCTACCCAGTATCTGTTGTTCCTAGAGAGGGGACTAAGATGCACTGTTGGAAGATGGAGATGGTTTTCTGATTTGGGTGTATCCATATTTATGTACTATTTATATATCCCACTATACAGACAGGATAGTTCCAAATCCAGACTCGGGATCAAGATTCAACAGCTGAGTGTTCACTGAATGTAGACAGCACAGCTCTCTTAAGACGGACACCAAGTTTTAAATTTGTACTGTAAAAGTGTTCTCTTTTCAGTGAAGCAGGTTTTGTCTGAATGACTAATCTGGCAGTTAAGTATCAATGTTATTCATGCTTACTGACTGATAGCTGAGGGTTATTTTATTCAAAGCAGTTCAGTTTGCTGTGTAAATGTTGGATACACACTTGGGAATCATTCCTGCTCTGCAACCATGAAATGCAGAAGGAACACAGGCTTTTAAAAGTGTGACTTCTTTTTCTTTCCTGAAATGACAGTGAGTGCCTAAATGTGGGACTCTGCATGGAGATTCTAATTCTTTTGGCAACAGACACCATACACAGGCAGTCTTCTTTGCAACACAAGGAATAATAAAGACATAAATAAACAAGTAAACTGCCCTGCACTGAACCTTGGGCAATTTGTTTGGTTTTGTTTTGTTTTAAGATAACATCAGTTTTAATTAAGACAACAACCATTAAACATTAAAAAAAAAATAAAAAAAAAAATTTTAAAAAAAACCTCACTACACCAAAAACACTATGATGAAGCAATTTGCAATCCACTGAGAAGGACCAATTGCTTTGTGTAGGTACTTGAGATTGCTGACTTACTCATGTTGTAGCAAATACGTAGTTCTCATTTTTAAACAAATGAATGCTTGGAACATTCCCACCTCACTGCCCAGCTAACCCTGCAGCAGGTTAGCACTTATCAGAACAAACGAATCTCTTGTTATTTCGATCCTGCTAAAGCAAGAGAAAACATTCCACCTGTTTCAAGCATACTAGATGACGCCCCTGCTTTAAAAATTGCTCCCCACAGGGATAAGTGCACGCTGCTAGGGTCTAATCTGTGAACACACACACACACACCCACCCATGCTCACTGTCTGTCCTTGGGTCTCACTCCCAGCTGCATGGCAGCTCTACATAAGAGATGTTTTCCACTCGCAGCATCTGGGACATAATTTTTAGCGTTGAGACCGTTTCAGTTCTTGTCAGTTGCAATCTATAATTACTCATCCTGGCCCTGTTTGTCTGTTTCTATGGTGACTTGGGGTATGAGGAAGGAAACAAAGGCAGCCTCTGCTTTTATAGGCATAGCGGAGTGAGATATAAATCAATAAGCTGTGCTGTTCAGGGCGTGTAACTCCAGAGTTGCTTAACTTTAAAGAAAGCTGTAGATATTTCTGTCTCGCCATGTGCCCGATATCTTTCTTATTTCACGTGGTCTCTAACAATATTGTGTCAGTGCTTCTTTCTATCACCCCCATCACACTTCAGTGTGTTTGAAGAAGTACAGGGTACCTTACCTCCTCCGGCTGTTAACGGCGATGCACACTGCGAGGATCAACGCCAGTGCCAGGAGAGCAGCAACGATGATCAGCCATTCTGGGGGTTGATGGAGGGAAGAAGAATGTGTTAATCCATCCCATGCAATTTCAGAGTTTCATGGACACTCAAGCATTCTTTAAACTGTAATACTTTCTTTTCTAGTTTAAGTGGATATTTGCTCCTTTTGCAAATTTCTTCTTTGCAAATGAAATACATTTTCATCAGTCATATTGCTTATGTGGCCAAAAAAAGTGCTCACCTATGCCCAGGCCTACTCTGATGAAATGCCTGTTCAATGTCAGCATATATAAGAATTGCACTTTGGCTGACATAGATGTAAAGCTGTTGTATCACTGATTTATTTCAAGAGCAGGAGAAAAGGCTGAGACAACTGCAATCTTAGGTGCAAAAGTAGGATGAATTGAAGGTTTGAGTGAAATGCCTACATTCATTTTGTCATCTAAAACCTTAAATTAAGGAGCATTTGTGGGGCAAATTCTAAAAAATAAAAAGGAACTGCAATATCATAAGGAGGTAAAAGTGGAAGGGAGATCACATAAGCTGTTTCCAGTGAAACAGAGTGAATAAAAACACCCCTGGCAAATGTTCCATTTGCTCTTAGATTTTTTAAAAATGGAGATTTCATGGCAACTTTCCCTGTACCCTGTTCTTTATGCAGGTCGTGCTATGGTTACCTTACCAGACTTTATCTTTCTGCCCTTCCCTGTTGTTTCTGTATGATTCAGTGCCTTAAACTGAATACAGTACCTCAGCTCTGGACTTGCCAGATCTACACTGAGTGGGATAATTGCTTTCTCTCTCTTAAAAATCGCTTTACTGTTAATATGTCACAGAATATATTTGCATTCTTTTGCAACTGTATCACTGTGTTGGCTTCTTTCTATTCTATTCCATTTCAATCTGCAAGCCTTTTTCTGCAAAGCTTGTCTCAGCTATATTTTTCACTGAACATTTTCACATATATGATACTTTACATCTACCTTCAAATTGTGTCTGATTGCATGAAAAAGTATCAAGATTATTTATCTCTAAATCCTGTTCTCCAAAACACGACTTCTCTCATCTAGATACTGCTAGAGTATTTTATGAGTTACAACATGCTGCATTTCTCAGACTACTAGTGAAAATGCTGAACGTTACCTGATTCAGAACAAAACCAGAATAACCATACTTGACCTACATTTTTGCTCAGTTCATATTCACATCCTTCTGTTCACATATTATTAAAATATATGACTTTGGAAACCTACCTGGTACCTGGGCTGAGCTCGGTTGTGATCTTACAGTTGTTGTTGTGGACTCTCCAGGGAAAGGAGTAGATTCACTGTCTCCCTTGTATGGTCCCTGATCACTGTCTATATTGGATGTAGACTCTAAAGAACAAAACCATCTGTTAGTCCAGATATCCTTATGGAGTATTTCACAGGGAGGTACAAAAGCTATGATTTTCATTATAAAAAAAAATACATATATATGTCTAGAAAGATGACACCAAAAAACTACACAGGCTATAAATGTTGTACTCATCAAAACTGTTGCTAGCTTTCATATTCTGATAACAAAGCTTATGGCTGTACCCTTTCACCTTTAATATGTTTCATTTTTGATTGTGCTACACTTTCATGAACCAATATGTAATGATAGTTGCCTGGAAATTGTCTGGAAAGAGTGTAAAGACTTCTGCATATTGGCAACTTCTTGAAGAGGTTTCTACTGTGTAAGTCAAAGGTCCTGCCTGTTCTACAGGGATAAGAGAATGAGAGATGACTAGAGAGAGAAGACTGAATTGATCAATAAGAAGAAATTTTAAAACTTTTAATTTTATTCTTATACAGGATAAAACTGAATTTCTAAAACTTTCCTACTTTCATAAAATAGAAGTACAGTTCTCTGGATGGTTTATATTTGATAGCTATGTATAATGTGGGACCTTAAAAATTCAAAATGTTTTCCTTATTAGCAAAAATTCTCTCTGTAAACACAGAGATGGGTCCCTTAGCACTTTAAAATAAGTTTTGCAAATTGGTTCTAAGACAGAATTAGATCTTAAATCCAAATGAGTTCTGCTAGTCTCATGTATTTCCTGTGATGGTTACATGGCCCGAAATCTTACATGATAACAGTAATATTTCTGGGCCATATTGTTGCCATAGGGGTATTCCACCTCTAAAATTATTTGTATACAGTGTTTCACGTGGGACTACAACTTTGTTATCAGTACGAAAACAACATTACAGATCTGCACTTCTCTGAGCTCTTCCAGACCCTGATAAAGCAAATTAGACGCCATCAGCTGCAAAGTTCTTTTTCTTTAGCACGTATTGCAATTCCCCTCTGTCCAGCCTTTCTGATCTCATTTCCTAACAGCAGCTGGCAAATACAAACTAAGAAGCACATTTTTCCCCTCTGATGAGCGTAGCCAACAAGTAGTTCATGAAGTTCCAGATGTTTTCATTATTATTAACAAGTAACTTTGTGACTGATGAGTTGTTCTGCGATAGCGCATCCCAACGGACAGAGCACTAAGTCAGCAGCTAGAGGACTTGATCTAACAAGACAAGAAAGCAGACCAAGAGAACTGTACTGACTTGCCTAACTGGCACTTCAGTGGATACTTTTTAAAGTGCTTTATGTCACCCTTGAGAAATGGTAGAGCTTTTCCACCACAAAGCCCCTTATAAAAACATTAAAGACTCCCGTGCTAAAAGAACTGCTACATTCACCATTCCCCTCTCCTGAGTGCTGAGGAGAAGCAGAGTTTGGCCGTGTCCCCTGGTGTCTCGGCTCTGAGGAAGGTGCCTGCAGTGGGCAGGGAGGGCTCTCAGTTGCCCTGACATTTTGTTTTGATGACATACTGGGTTTTCTTCTTTTTGACAGTTATTTTTTGATTCATTCAGTGGACTATTCTGTTATTCCACTGTGACATTTGGACAAAAGATCAGTCATTAGGGCAATGTCAGACCACAGCTTTAAAACTGCTGTGGAGGAAGAGAAATTGAAAGAAAGCAGTACAGTACGTGACAACATTCGTTTGTTTGGAAGAAGCCTACAGCTAGAGCAAGCCAATATATTAATGAAACTTTTTCATTCCATTACAGCTATACAAATGAAACAGTCCTTTAAAAAATGAGCCTTAAAAAAACCCAGCAATACTAGTAATTCCTTTAGACTGTAATTATAAAAAGCACGAAGAGTAGATAAGCAGGGGAAAAAAAAGGGCATTCACTTTGAAAAAGGCCTTCAGAGCAATCCATACTGGTTTTCTATGCTCAAAGCAGAAAAGTAGCAAACATTTTTTCAGACTGTAATGTCTGCACACTACATAGAGGCTGCTTGGCTTAATTAAGTGATAGGGCAGTGAATGCCAAGAAATGAATTTGTTGTAGTAGGAAACAGATATTAAAACAGGACTATCTTTCCAATAAAATGCAAATACATATTTTGCATTTATATTGCTGTATCTATGTCTAAATACTGTAATTTTTGCAGCTTTGATAAGAGTGATATTGTTGACTCAATATCAAATTCTGAAGAAGAAAAAGGACAAATTCCACTTGTATGAATTAACATTAATTAATGATAATTTATGTAGACTCCACAAAATTGAGTGGAGCTATGCCAGGGTAAAAGTGGAAAGAGAAATTATGCAAAATTAGGAACATTTAGCCTACATTGTAAATTCCATTTCTAGCTAAAATTTTTCAAAATGACTGCATTCACTGGAAACAAATTCTAACTCCCAGTCATTAGGAACAATAGAATTATCTTTAAAATATCTGCTGTATAATGTTAAATGCATATAGGTACATTATTGTGCTTAACTGTAAAGAATAACCACATAGCATTGGCCAAAATCTACCCTGGCACAATTCCACTAACTTCCAGGAAAGTGCATGAAAGCACTATTTAGATCAGCATGAGAAAGAAATAGCTTCTGGGAAAAAAAAATAATTGCTGTTAGAATGATGATCTCTATGGAAAATCTGGGAATAAGGAAAAGTCCCTTCATTCCTTGCTCCAATAGCAAATGACAAAAGAGAAAAAGGTATCTGTAGGGTAACAAGTAAAGCATTAACTACACTAATGTTACCAGATGAATTACCCCTTTTAAATAAACGGTTCACAAACAAAATGTTGGTTACAACTCAGTCATTGCCATGATACCAACTGCAGATATACCTACTAATCGGGGAAAAAAAAGTTTGCACAATAAATTTCTGATATACATTTAACCTATGCAGAGGGATTGAGAACGTCTGAAAAAGTGACAGATAGTTGGGTTACACAGCAGTCATTTGTCCATTTGTCCATTTAAAAGGAAGTCAAAATGCTAGCGTGTACTTATGGGCATAAGGAGAAAGCTTATACTTCTTCATTTTTTGAGAAGTGTTACAAAATACAGATACATACTATAAGAGAAAAATATCTCCAAAACACAACTATCACCTTTTTGGGACAAGTATTCTGCTTCAGAGAGGAGAGTATTCCCTCAGTTGCATCTTAAATGAGGACTAAAAACATACTGAAAAATGTCTACAAAAAATAACAATGGAAAAAAAAACACAAGCAAAATACACTAGAAGTATAACTGAAAATTAAGGGATACTACAAATACATTCAGAAAATCATCATTGATAAAAACAAGAACAGACAGATGGATAAATGAGAACACTGGCAATGTATAGTTCTTACTAGGAGAACGAGGGGTCGGTAATTGGTATAGATGATCATCAATGTCTGGAAAAACTCCAGGTATCAAACTGACATGAGAGCCATCTGTGGCATTTGTTTGTCCACTTTCACTTCCAGGCTGAGTGCTGGGTGCCAGGGGCCTGCTGGTTGCTTCTTCTGGGTGGAAAACATCTGTGGACACTGTGACTGCCGGGACGATGGCACAATCAGCTTTAGAGGCCAACCAAACCTCCACCCACATTGCTTCCCTCCTACCTATATCACAGCACACCAGAAAGCATGTCCTGCCACCTGGGTGAAAGCATGGCAGGAGGGAAGGCATGAAGGCCTCCCCTTCTCCTTCCACATTGTCAGTGGCTTTTGAGATCCCTAAGTAGCATGTGCTTGCCACACTGTAGGAAGATGTTGGCTGTATCCATATATGCCAGTGACAGGTGGAGAGGGAAGACCTTCAGAAGAAGAGACCGCAGCAGGAAACCTGATCCCGTAACTCAGGAGTGAGCGCCCACACCACAGCCAGATTTGCAGTGGTTCTGCACAGGCAAGAAGGTGCAAGGGATTAAAGACAGAACATGTAGGGCACGGTTCCTGTGTGACTGCCCTGCCTTCACCACCAGGACAACACTCCCTGGCGATGGCGACACTGCTGAGTCACAAGAGCAAGTCACCCAGCTAACCCCAACAGAGCACCTCCACCACACCGACCGTGTCACCAGAGCACACCAAGCCTGATCTCACTGATGTGCAGGAGAGGAGGATGAGGCTGGAAATTCAGGGTCACCAAAATATGTGACAGGCAGAAAAGACAAGGGGCCGCCCCTGCAGAAACATGCTTCAGCAAAGAACAGAAACCACCAAACGCAACAGCAAGGAGACCCTTACGCCAAGTCCAGAAGGGCACTCTAACAGCAGATCAGATCCCGCCACAAAATTTTGCACTGCAAGTCCACAAGAAGAATGTAGACCCAAAGATGAGAAAGAGAGTAGAAGTCATCAATTTCAGAAGAAATAACGTCTCATTTCACACGCTGTGTGAGAAATGAGCTTGATTCATTATTCTTACTGGTACTTGTGAGCAGAGATTCCTCACCAGCTTCATCTGTACTGGCGGGATCCAGCCCAAGGAGAACTGGACCCCCAGGGGCATCAGTGGAATGTGTGATGCTTTCAGTGCTCCGTGCTGCTTCGTTTTCTGAAGGCAGAGTTGGCTGAGTAGGGTCTTCGTGAAAAGCACCATCATCAGGTGTGGCAAGAGCTGTGTCAATGACTCGAGGTGTCCACACTTCTTGGGTTACATCTTCTGGTTTCAGAACATCATTGGAGTCTGTGACTGTTGTGATGTGATGATGGCTTAGTTAACTTGAAAGGTTTTTAGATATCCCTACCTTATCAATTTTTCTCTTTATTTCATTTTTCAATTTCTACCTTTTCCTTCACTAGTCTCTGCAGAGAATAGAGTTAAGGGGAAAAAAAAAAAAAAAAAAAAAAAAAAAAGTAGGACAAAGAAGTTCTGGATCGTTCATTATTTTTTACTTTTTTGTTCCTTTACTATTGTTCTATCAAACACTCTAATAGTTACATACTTGTTTCCAAACTTTTAGTGATTTTTCAAACATGCATATCTATCAAAATTTAAGTAGCAGCTATTTAGACCTAACTATTTAAGACTGATAATATCATCATGTTAAAAAAAAGTCTTTTTTCATTTCATTTATTTATCCATCTCTACTTTTCCATGAGATAATCATAAAAAAATGTGTGCTCATTTCCCTTTAGAAAACTTAAAATGAATTCACATGGAGGATTATGGAATTGAACTACTTAATGAGTATCTTTCCTACATCATTAAGACAGTGCTCTTTTTCTAAAGAGGCTATTGTCAATGTAAAGGAATAAGGATGTCACAAAAGCATGCTAAGAAGCAGCACAGCCTAATTGGATGCACTTGAAGAATATCCAAATGCCACAAAATACAATCTCAGTAATAAACATCAATAGTGATGAAAAATTTACCACTGAAATTAAACATTATGAAGTAAAATGAGAAACCAAAACATTAATTTCCAAAAACTGTAGCCTACAGTGTTATCTTTGAAAATGTCTAGTAATCACTATGTAAGAGGGAAATAAATCATGCTATTTTTAGAATAAAATGAATATTATGATACCCATCATTACATAACAGTAAAATTTCAATGACCTGTTTGAAAGTATTTGAGTAGATTTTCAAATCCTATTTGGGTTTTTGTATTTGTAATTGATCTGTCAGACCATATAAAACTTAACATGCTGATGAAAATAAATGATAAAGCTTCACGTGATCCCTTCCATGCATAGCAAACAAAAGGAGGAAGTGGAGAAACATGCTGTCTTTTGCCAATGCAAACTTCATTTTTTATAGCTCAAGAGTTAAAGTAATCCTGAAGAAAACCGAAGGTGAAGAAGAAAAGGGAAAGCATAAATATTACTTTTTCCCATAAAGGTTATTTGCAGATTTGTTATTCTTTTAAGAAAATACAAGGGATGAAAAATTTCCAAAGCGCTACAATATCAAGACTCCATGATTAAACAAACAAACATAAAGTTTAGAGTAAAGCTCCAGTGTTGTGATAGGGGATAATTCAATAGGATAATATTCAGGCCTTTTCAATAGGTTAACTTACAAAACTTAGGAGCAAAAACTCATAGATCTTCATGAACAACACTGTGTTGTTGTTTTTTTTTTTAAATTTACAGTACTAATGTCATCTGTGACAATAGCAAGAGCAAGAGTGAATGGGTATAAATACCTGCTTTTAAGCATATGATTCATTTACTCTAAAAACAATCTTTTCTAAGAATGAAATCCCACTAAAATCAACATGTGAAGAACTGGAAGACATAAGAAAAAGGATGTCCAGGGAAGAATGTTCTTGATGAATAGAATTTCTTATTTAGATGTTACATGCAACAGAATTATAAAACAGTTTATGATACTGCAAGTCTAAAAGAAGAATGTAGACCCAAAGATGAGAAAGAGAGTAGAAGTCGTCAATTTCAGAAGAAATAACGTCTCATTTCACACGCTGTGTGAGAAATGAGCTTGATTCATTATTCTTACTGGTACTTGTGAGCAGAGATTCCTCACCAGCTTTGTCAGTACTGGCAGGATCCAGCCCAAGGAGAACTGGACCCCCAGGGGCATCAGTGGAATGTGTGATGCTTTCAGTGCTCCGTGCTGCTTCGTTTTCTGAAGGCAGAGTTGGCTGAGTAGGGTCTTCATGAGGAGCACCATCATCAGATGTGGCAAGAGCTGTTATGACGATGGTTGAATCAGCTGTGAATTCAATATGTGCCCTTCTCATCCCCATCACATTCAAGTTTCTCTTCCCTTTAAAACACGGCTACTCTTTTCACACCGAAAAAGAGGAAGAAAATGTTTTGTCCCCCTTTACATCCTCATTGCTACATTTTCAAATATTAATTTTATGCACCTTCATATCTTAATCCAAAAGATTCCCAAGACAGTGGGCACACGGAGAGGACATGGAGGAAGCAATCACGGGAATTTCTGGACCAGTTCTCTTTCTGATCACAGATCCTCAACATTAGTGTCATTTCCAAATTATTCTACAGAGCATTTTACCTTGCAGTTATCATTCTTGGCAGTAAAAAATTTCTGTAACTCAGTAACACTCATTTTCTACTCAAAACTATCTGTATTTTTTCTGCCATACAGAAAATACAATTAAATAGCGGTTCTTACTAGTGGAAAGATGAGTCGGTAATGGGTTAAGATGATCATCAATGTCTGGAAAAACTCCAGGTATCAAACTGACATGAGAGCCATCTGTGGCATTTGCTTGTCCACTTTCACTTCCAGGCTGAGTGCTGGGTGCCAGGGGCCTGCTGGTTGCTTCTTCTGGGTGGAAAACATCTGTGGACACTGTGACTGCCGGGACGATGGCACAATCAGCTTTAGAGGCCAACCAAACCTCCACCCACATTGCTTCCCTCCTACCTATATCACAGCACACCAGAAAGCATGTCCTGCCACCTGGGTGAAAGCATGGCAGGAGGGAAGGCATGAAGGCCTCCCCTTCTCCTTCCACATTGTCAGTGGCTTTTGAGATCCCTAAGTAGCATGTGCTTGCCACACTGTAGGAAGATGTTGGCTGTATCCATATATGCCAGTGACAGGTGGAGAGGGAAGACCTTCAGAAGAAGAGACCGCAGCAGGAAACCCGATCCCGTAACTCAGGAGTGAGCGCCCACACCACAGCCAGATTTGCAGTGGTTCTGCACAGGCAAGGAGGTGCAAGGGATTAAAGACAGAACATGTAGGGCACGGTTCCTGTGTGACTGCCCTGCCCTCACCACCAGGACAACACTCCCTGGCGATGGCGACACTGCTGAGTCACAAGAGCAAGTCACCCAGCTAACCCCAACAGAGCACCTCCACCACACCGACCGTGTCACCAGAGCACACCAAGCCTGATCTCACTGATGTGCAGGAGAGGAGGATGAGGCTGGAAATTCAGGGTCACCAAAATATGTGACAGGCAGAAAAGACAAGAGGCCGCCCTGCAGAAACATGCTTCAGCAAAGAACAGAAACCACCAAACGCAACAGCAAGGAGACCCTTACGCCAAGTCCAGAAGGGCACTCTAACAGCAGATCAGATCCCGCCACAAAATTTTGCGCTGCAAGTCCACAAGAAGAATGTAGACCCAAAGATGAGAAAGAGAGTAGAAGTCATCAATTTCAGAAGAAATAACGTCTCATTTCACACGCTGTGTGAGAAATGAGCTTGATTCATTATTCTTACTGGTACTTGTGAGCAGAGATTCCTCACCAGCTTCATCTGTACTGGCGGGATCCAGCCCAAGGAGAACTGGACCCCCAGGGGCATCAGTGGAATGTGTGATGCTTTCAGTGCTCCGTGCTGCTTCGTTTTCTGAAGGCAGAGTTGGCTGAGTAGGGTCTTCATGAGGAGCACCATCATCAGGTGTGGCAAGAGCTGTTATGACGATGGTTGAATCAGCTGTGAATTCAGTATGTGCCCCTCTCATCCCCATCACATTCAAGTTTCTCTTCCCTTTAAAACACGGCTACTCTTTTCACACCGAAAAAGAGGAAGAAAATGTTTTGTCCCCCTTTACATCCTCATTGCTACATTTTCAAATATTAATTTTATGCACTTCATATCTTAATCCAAAAGATTCCCAAAACAGTGGGCACACGGAGAGGACATGGAGGAAGCAATCACGGGAATTTCTGGACCAGTTCTCTTTCTGATCACAGATCCTCAATGTTAGTGTCATTTCCAAATTATTCTACAGAGCATTTTACCTTGTAGTTATCATTCTTGGCAGTAAATAAGCCTTTCTGCAACCACTCATGCTCCTTTGCTGCTCAAGATTATATGAATAGTTACAAATTATGGAATATATTTATTATGTGAACAGTAGTAAGTTTATAGCAGTAGTAACAGTAGTTTTCCTAACAGAATTATCTTGTTACTTGTAAGTTTTATAGAAAGACATATTTGAAATCCTATATCTCAACACCATCCAGGGAGATCACAGAGAAAATGAGTCGTTTTGTAATCTTTGTCACAGACTTAAGGACATCAGTAAGCTACCTGCTTTCTAAGTCATGCAATAGCTTTCCAAGACAAGATATCTGAAAGACAGAAGTGATGAAATATGCATCACTGATATAATGATTAGTACCTGTATTAGAAGACTCTTTTTCATGATTACTCTCTCTGGAAGGAATAACTCTATCCATTATAGTGGATTGTGTGGAATAATCTTCCTTGCCCCAATCTGGATACACCAATGGGTCTTGCGCTGAGTCATTCTGTTTGGCCCCATGATTGGAGACCATAGCTGTTATGATGATGGTGAAGCAATTATGAAGTCAGTACATAAAGATCCATTTCTCATATTATTCTCCTCTTCGGTTCTTGTCTCTATGACAGGCCTTGCTCACATGTCTACTACATTTAATGGCAAAGAGAAGTAAAGCAGATTTTCTTCTCATTATGGTTTATGTTTAGAAAGGCTGCCTACTGTCACCAATAGGATTGAATCCTTCCTCAAACTGAGCATTTGCTTTTCAGAATCAGCGTATCTCCTTGACTTTCAAAAGTCTTTTCCCTGACTCATGCACCTCATGACTTCATATTGGTTGAATATCAAACTAATATCCACTAATGTGTAAGTAAGAAATGCAAAGTATCTGGAAGAATCTGACCTGTTGGTAAGATTTTAATCACAGAATTTTATGTATTGACTATATTCAATTTTTCCCCCTCAATTTCATGATAGAGCATCCCAAATAACAATGTATATCTCCTCTTCAGTGTTTGATAATTATCAAGAACAGATGGCACTGCTTAGTACAGCACATCGGTCATTAACTAGCAAACAATACACTCACAGGGACATCAACAACTAATATTTATCAATTTTCAGACATTAGTTTTACTGTAGAATTTCATCATTTATGTTTCAATTTCTTTGAGAAACCTCTCTTTTCTTCCACACTATGCTTTTTTCGTTCACTTCAATATCATCTTGTCATATTTCAAAAGTGAAATGAGTAGATACTTTGGATACTATTGAGTTAGTTAAAATTGCCATATAAAAAAAAATAGTGCAAAAATCAGCTCCAATAATGACTTGCAACAAGAGCGTGAACACAATTCACAAATATTATTCACAAATGAAAAAATGCAACAGATATCACTGTTTTTCTTTTTAAACATTCACTGTTTCCTGCAGATGTAACCCTTGCAGATAATCTGGTAAAGCCTTGTGACTGCATGACATAGAACACTGAATGTAAGAGGCAATTCCAGTGTTATTTCACCATAGGTCTTGACACACTATGCAAATGAGAGAGAAAGCAAAGTTCCAAGACTAAGTCTGAAGAATAGATTAAAAAAAAAATAAATTTAAAAGGCAATCAATAGATCTGAATTGCTTGGGTTTATCCACAAAACATTTGTTACGACCTCGGAGTACTAAATTGTTCATAAAATCTTTCTAAAACTAAACCTTAAGTAAACTCGGATAATATACTAGAATTTAAGTTGCAATGTTACCTGTAAAAGAAGTTTCCTTTTCAGTATCATTTTCACCTGGAGGAGTAAATTCTTGTTGTTCAGTAGCCCCAGTGGTGTTTGCAGGATTTTGTCCTTGACTGATCCATCCATTGTGAACACTGTGTAATAGTGGATGTTGGGTTGGTCCTTGACGTTTTTCAGTTTCACTTGTAACAAGTGCTGATAAGATGATGATTGAATCAATAATGATCAAAATACCCAACAGCAGTCATACTATCCTTATCTTCAGTATCCTTATCTGCAGTAAGGTTGGATTTTATGTTTTCCTTTTTTCTTTAATTTGTTGCAATGGGTGTGAAATGAAAGACGGAAAGAAATAAAGCTCCTTTGGAAACCAAAGTCTGTTTTGCCCAGGAAAGCATCACCAGGATCAGTGGAAGATTTAAGTTTGCTACAGAGTACCCAATGACCAGTGGCAGAATAAAGCTATAGGAAAAGCAGTAGAAGACACAGCAATAACAGCTTGCATCTCTACTTTGTATTTATTAACACTAACTTAATTAGTTGAGTCTGTGGATTTGGGGTTTATAAAAGTGAAAGAGATGATGAAATTGCTCTTCTGAGTAAATGTATCAACTACACAATTTCAAGGAAGGCTCTGAGGAAGTTGCCACTGCTTCTGGGAGTGGAAGAATATTTAGTTGGATGAATGAAATGAATAAGTTCATATATTTGAGGCTGAAAAGCATACTAGTCTTGAACTGAGTAATGATTAAAGCTAAAATAAATTAAATACTCAATGTTTGATTTACTGTTTACATAGCAGAAGATGCAATCAGAAGTAATTTGAAGTACCACCACCTCAAGAGATTTTGTAATAAACATTAAAAGGCTTAGAAAACATACATCAGAAAAGAATACCTGTAACACCAAGGTGAGCATTAGAATCCAAATTTAAAAAAAAGAAAAAGAAATAATAGAAAAAAGCATTAGGTAGCAAATACTTCCACAAATGATGTATGAAAGCAAAAATAAAGGTCCCAGCTAGAGGATACAGGGAATGAACTGGAGATGTTGCACATGCAGTAAGTCACCAGCTAGAGAAACCTACAATAAGCATTTTCCAAAAAGAACAGAAATGGGGAGAGATACATCTTCAAATGATGAAATGTTCATAAAGAGAGCATTCCAACAAATGTAATTCATTATTTTCATAATTAGAAAAATATTGAGAGATAGTCCTGTAAAATATGGTCCTGAATTTGCAGCTAGTAGGAGATTAAAACTAAGAAAAGTATGAACACATTAGTTAACAACATTTCAGAACTAAAATAAAGTTTTCACAGAAATTCTTTCCAGGCGATTAAAGCTCCTGCCCAATGCCAACTGAATTGTTCCCAGAAACCCCAGGACCATAAAGAAATGTCCGTAGCTAATGAAGGCAGATCCAAAGAATTACCACAGAAGGAAGAAAATGGTTGCCTTTACAGAGGGATAATAAAGCTTTCCACAAGTCCAGCTGTAGAAAGGTACATCTTCAGCTATTTAGTTTTGATCTTCTTTTTAACAAGATAAAATGGCATTGTTGCCAAAAACAAAGTTTATATTTAGCTATACTTTAAAAACAAACAAACAAACAGCAACAAACTGGAAACTATTTACGTACACAGCAAAAACAGCTGGAGAATGCACTCCGTAAGCCTTTGCCTACAGAGATTTTTGAACTTGAAGAAAGTGATAATTGAGAATTTTCAATGGCTCGGTTGGCTAATGACACTAACACCAGAAGGAAAATGTTCACATTGCTCTGGAGATAGCATCTTATCTTTTGTACCCCAGTTGGGAATGCAGTGTTTACTGTTCTATTTAAAACGGACCCTCAGGAGTAATAGATCCGAGGCTGAGCCTTTTGTCTTCAAGACAACATTGTAGTACCGGCTGGATAATTTTTTAACCTAACATGGCCAAATTTATGCTACTATTATTATCTTATTATCCTATTATCCCACGCTGAAGAATCTACTTAAATCAATCTGAGCTTTATATCTGTAGGTTTTCCACCCACATATTTTTCAAATATTGCCCTGGATGTTTCTGTAAGTATTCCTATATTTTCACGTCTACTAAGCAATGGAAAGAGTAGGCAGTTACTGTTTAGTTTTGTCACATTTGTATCTGCCAAAAACTTGTTTTTCAAGAGGCCTGATGTAACTGAGAAGTTATGGTTAATCTAACTTTCATGTTTTTGAATCACCAATGCTATTTTCTGTCTTTGTCTTCAGATTTTACAATAGAAATTTCACAGTGAATAAGGGGGATTTTTCTTCACCAAGCTGGGCCTACAATTACATGTTGCAATCTGCTCAGTTTTATTACACCACTGGCAGTGCAAGCTTTAAAACCCCAGAGATATGTGGGGAAGGGGAAAGTAATGAATATTAGGTGCAAAAGATAAATTTGGAGTGACAGATGAATGCCATAGATGTCACCTCTGAGGTCTATAGCACAAATAATATGAAGTTATAACCAAAGCTAATGATATGGGAATTACAATTAGCAGCACTGTGAGATTGCTAGACTTCACTGTATTATGTCACAAATCTGAGTATTATCTGAAATGTTTAATAGCTTTACCCCTGCCAGCAGAGCTAGGATATCTCTCCTCTTCATCTGTGTAGGAGGGTTTCCAATAATCTTGTGTGGAGACATCCAGAAGCGTTTCATGTTGTGAGTCCACAGCTGTCAGGACAATGGAGGATTCAATACTGATCATGCTCTACTTCTATCATTATTACACTACTGTTAGTCTGTGCCATAAAGATAGGGGATAATGGATATGCATGCATAACTAAATGATAGTCACACTATTCTTCTTATCAAGTTTATTTACACCAAGCTAGTATTTCTTTTCTTTGCATCAGACAGATGCAAAGACTTGCAGGAATAATGGTGGAAACAAGAGATAGAAGAATGACATATAACAGAAGTAGTGCAAAACTGTTACAGCAGTTACAGACATTTAAATTTGAGTTTAAAGAATAATAGTGGGCCTAAAGAAGATTGTAGGTGTCTGAGGAAATGTAAAACATTCTCGCTAAGTATTCAACAAGTATTCAGATTTATGAATGAGAGCACTACAATAGCCACCTAGTATTAGTCAATAAAGTTACAGTATAGTTGAAATGATAAAATAAAACTGCCACAAGAGACTATGATCAGAAACTGCATACATTTTCACCCAGAGAGTATGCAAACATCACTAGCCCATACAGCTGGCATAGTATATGCCATATGGAAAAAGTCAGAGAGTAAAACGCAGAGAGCAAAAGCTAAATGAATAAAAACCAGAAACATCTAAAGGTTAGACAAAAGAAAAAGAAACCCTAAACAAGTTGAGTCATTCATTTTGTATCTTTCTGAAAAACAAAGACTACAGCTGAGAAAAAGGCAAAATTTGACAACATTCAGATGAAGAAAATAGTGAAATACTTAAAAGTACAGATTTATTGACACTACAAAGTACGCGAGTGCACAAGAAAAATACACAATAAGATGTGCTTAAATTATATTAAATTAAATTTTAAAATAGTGATACGTTACTATCTTTGAGCAAGTTAAAGTGATAGAGTGACAATTTCTAATGAAATGGGAACGGAGATTGGCTTTAGTCTTCCATATAATAAGTAGACTCTGTATAACAGAGCCAAGAAATCTAAGAAAATGTATCAACAAATAGTGATGAAGGCCATGGTTATACTTCAGCAAAGATATGGTGAATGTTATAAATAACACAAGATAGAAATAATTTAATACCGTTTTTCTCCAAAAAAAGAAAAACTTGGAAAAAATTATAAACATTTCTTCCAGGAAGTGCAGGTGTTGAACTACTGGGTTAAAACAGGGATGAAAGTGACATGTCAACATTAAGTAATGAAGCAATAAATTCTCTAACATCCTTTTACCAGTGACAAGAATGTAATTTTGGAAAGAATTGATAAGAAGAATGCACACTCTTCCCAAAACATATATGTAGCAACAGGTGAGAAATATATGATAAAAAAGGGAAAAAAAAAAAAACAAATACACCCAAAGGGAAAGGAAATTCCTAACTAGTACTTTAAGCAAAGCACCATGTCAGCATGATATTCTTTACCCCTGGTTGACTGTGTGGGTTCTTGGGTCTTCTCTCTGGGATTCGACAACCACCACTGGTATAAAAACGGATTCCACTGAGCTTGGGTGGTGGTTTTCTCCAGGTTGTCATGATGAGGCTCTGGAGCTGCTAGGATGTGGTTCATTGAACCAAAAAATTGTTATTTCTTGAGAGGCTTACTTTCTCCAGCCTAAGCCAAGTCCACCAGCACCAGCACCCTGAGCATGCTCATGCCACTGAGAGGGATGTGAGCACAAAGGGAATGTATGAACTTGGGAATCAGTACATTCCTGAAACTCATAGATAGCTGAAAGACAGACTGCTGGCAATCCCAAGAAAGAACATGGTTGCTTGGGAGGAGGCATCACAAAGCCCTCTGAGTCTTTCCTTGCCATTTAGAGTGTTAAAGAGTTCCTTACAGACTGCGCCAGTAGGATAAAAAGCAGATAGCCTCTGATAACCTCCAGAATGGAGAACATCCACCAGGCCATTCTGCACAAAAACGCATGCACTCCCATTGGTCAGCTGCTGACAGCCAGCTCCACAACAGAAACACCTTTGAGTTTGGCATTAACAAATTTGGGAAACACAACTCCATCTCTATTACTTTACCACCGCACAGCATTTTCTCAGAATACGGCATTTCAAATAGTACTAAACCATTGACTGCGACAGACATTTGAGTGTGGAAACAGATTTCCACTTAAGAGAAACTACAGGTCTTTACTCGCTTTTCCTTCACTGTGCCATACAAGACAAATATATCACAGTGTCACTCAGGGCCAGTTCATATGGAAATGGGATATAAATTTTAGCAGCACTGGAAGAAGGACCTCACAAGATCTAAATAAACTTTTTCTTTGGTACGGGAGAGTTACCTGAAGCAAGAGCTGACTAGAACAGCAGCTACTCCTTTAACAAATGCTCCTATAGTGAAGGAAGGGAAGACTGCTCAGAAAATGGAATGATGAGCAAGCAAACTTAAAACCACAACAACAGCAATGTACCCAAAGAGAGAGGAAGTTCCTTACTAGTACTTGGAGCATACTCATTCTTGGCTACACTTATTTCCCATCCTGGAAACACCGTTGAGTATATCATCTCCTCTGAAGAGTCTTCGTCATCTGAACCATTGCCGCTCGAGGTCACATCTGCTGTGGTGATGTTAAATGTGCCATGAAGTCTGAGCCCACAAGGTCTCTTGCTGACAGACTTAATCATTGCTGTCTCCCCAGCATGCACTCCATAGTCACAGAGGAGCCCGAACCGCACCATGCTTGCCTCAGTCCGTATCTCCCACTGGTCCTTCCTCCCACAAGACATTCATTATCTTACCACGGCCCTACTGAAGCTACCCCAATATTGTTAGCTATGTTTCTGTGCCATACACAGAGTCATAACACTGATATCTGATTCCTTTTTTCAGAGCTAAGGACAAACTGTAATTTCAGCAAAATTTAATCAAGAGTGATCTGGTTTTATATGAATGAATTTTCAGAATAATGTTCGATCGTTTTCACTCTCACAGCTTTCATTCCTTCAGAAATACTGGTTGTCCATACAAGCAAAACTGTATACTCTTCTACTTTATGGTGTCTGTCAAAGACAGAGTTATGACTTAGTGTACTTATTGCTACTTTTTTTTCAAATATTCCTCAATGTTATAAGCCCTATGGAAATAATACCATAAGGAGTTTCTGGAATGATCATTCATTCATTTTCCACTTGTCATCACAGTAATATAATCTAATTTCTATATCATAGAGAATATTTTTTCCATCTGGGCCACTGGTGGAATGTAATTAACTGATGTTAGAACTTCAATAGTTCTTTCTTTTCATAGGCAGACTTCATATTCCGAATGTTTGTTAACCACAGGATACATGATGTGGTCTGTCACTATCAAATACACAGCCTCCAAGAAAGAGCCAAATACATTTTTCTTTCCTCTTTAAATACAAAAAATAGATAACACACACTGCCCATTGTAAACACCCTCCACATAATGCTTCTGAAGCTAGCTGCCCTGTCTCACGATTTAAAACACCATGTTAGTATGACATTCTTTACCCCTGGTTGACTGTGTGGGTTCTTGGGTCTTCTCTCTGGGATTCGACAACCACCACTGGTATAAAAACGGATTCCACTGAGCTTGGGTGGTGGTTTTCTCCAGGTTGTCATGATGAGGCTCTGGAGCTGCTAGGATGTGGTTCATTGAACCAAAAAATTGTTATTTCTTGAGAGGCTTACTTTCTCCAGCCTAAGCCAAGTCCACCAGCACCAGCACCCTGAGCATGCTCATGCCACTGAGAGGGATGTGAGCACAAAGGGAATGTATGAACTTGGGAATCAGTACATTCCTGAAACTCATAGATAGCTGAAAGACAGACTGCTGGCAATCCCAAGAAAGAACATGGTTGCTTGGGAGGAGGCATCACAAAGCCCTCTGAGTCTTTCCTTGCCATTTAGCGTGTTAAAGAGTTCCTTACAGACTGTGCCAGTAGGATAAAAAGCAGATAGCCTCTGATAACCTCCAGAATGGAGAACATCCACCGGGAATTGGAAGAAAAATGACACAGAGAGAAAAAGGTATCTGCAACAGCTGGAAAGAGTACCCAGAAACAAGCACACCCATTATTTTTGCATTCTCTTCTACTGATAGCGACTGATAGCCCTCTGAAGCCGGCACTGCCAAAGATCTGGGCTCAGAACTACAGCCATTCTGCACAAAAATGCATGCACTCCCATTGGTCAGCTGCTGACAGCCAGCTCCACAACAGAAACACCTTTGAGTTTGGCATTAACAAATTTGGGAAACACAACTCCATCTCTATTACTTTACCACCGCACAGCATTTTCTCAGAATACTGCATTTCAAATAGTACTAAACCATTGACTGCGACAGACATTTGAGTGTGGAAACAGATTTCCACTTAAGAGAAACTACAGGTCTTTACTCCCTTTTCCTTCACTGTGCCATACAAGACAAATATATGCATGTATATAAACATAATGAATGGAGTTACATATATAGGGGCTGGAAGTTCCCTCCAGAGAAGAACTGTTCTGCAGGACACAGTGTCACTCAGGAGAATCTTGGAAATCCAGTGCATATGGAAATGAGATATAAATTTTAGCAGCACTGGAAGAAGGCCCTTCTAGGGATCTCACAAGGACCTCACAAGATCTAAATAAACTTTTTCTTTGGTACGGGAGAGTTACCTGAAGCAAGAGCTGACTAGAACAGCAGCTACTCCTTTAACAAATGCTCCTATCGTGAAGGAAGGGAAGACTGCTCAGAAAATGGAATGATGAGCAAGCAAACTTAAAACCACAACAACAGCAATGTACCCAAAGAGAGAGGAAGTTCCTTACTAGTACTTGGAGCATACTCATTCTTGGCTACACTTATTTCCCATCCTGGAAACACCGTTGAGTATATCATCTCCTCTGAAGAGTCTTCGTCATCTGAACCATTGCCGCTCGAGGTCACATCTGCTGTGGTGATGTTAAATGTGCCATGAAGCCTGAGCCCACAAGGTCTCTTGCTGACAGACTTAATCATTGCTGTCTCCCCAGCATGCACCCCACAGTCACAGAGGAGCCCGAACCGCACCACGCTTGCCTCGGTCCGTATCTCCCACTGGTCCTTCCTCCCACAAGACATTCATTATCTTACCATGGCCCTACTGAAGCTACCCCACTGTTGTTGTTGGCTACGTTTCTGTGTCCAATTATAGGTCACAGCACAAATGGGCACCTGTCTTGTTCCATCAGAGTGAGTATAGTGTACTGCCACGAAAACACACTCTTCATTTCTTGTACAATTCTCATTAAAATAATCTCATTCTAAAGTTACTTCAAGATAGAAAATTAAAGACTCCAATACATCCTTTACAGAATATCTCAAATATTCAACCCTCTCAGATATGTAGTTCACTAATAATGTGGACAAATGCTCTTTTGCTACCATACATACTACCACAGAGGAAGAACATTGTACTTTCATAGAACAAAGGTAATGGCCTCAATTTGAACGAGAGGAGATTCAGTTCGGATGTTAGGAATAAAGAAAAAAGTCTCTTCCAAGAGAGTAGTAATGCAATGCAACAGGCTGTCTAGGGAAGTGATGGAGTCACATTCCTTGGAGCTGTTCAAGAAGCATGTAGATGTTGCACTTTGGGACATGGTTCACTGGGCATGGTGATAATGGGTTGAAGGCTGGACTAGATGATCTTTGAGGGTCATTTCCAGCCTTAATGATTCTATGATTGTTTTATTTTTCCTCTTCAGAAACATTACAGAGAAAAGCAGCAACACATACTGCCCACTATAAACACCCTACAATTAATGCTTCTGAAGCTTGCTGCCCTGGCTCACTGGACATTAAGCCTTTTAAAAAAAGTACCATCTTAGCACGACATTCTTTACCCCTTGTTGGCTGTGTGGGTTCTTGGGTCTTCTCTCTGGGGTATGACCACCACCACTGGTCTGAAAATGGATTCCACCATGACTGGGTGGTGGTTTTCTCCAGGTTGTCACGATGAGGCTCTGGAGCTGTTAGGATATGGTTCATTGAACCAAAAACTTGTTATTTCTTGAGAGGCTTACTTTCTCCAGCTAAGCCAAATCCACCAGCACCAGCACCCTGAGCATGCTCATGCCACTGAGAGAGATGTGAGCACAAAGGGAATGTATGAACCTGGGGTATCATTACATTCCTCCAGTAGCAAAAATATCCCATCATTTTAGTGTAAGTGAAGTTTGAATCATTCTGCTGAAGTTTAAGATTATATTACCAGCTCTGAAATATGCACTGTGTGTGAAATACACTCCTTTTTGACAAAAAGCATGCAAAGCTAACAAAAATGCATACACCGAGAATGAAATTCCTGAAGAAATCCAGCTTATCATTATTTATGTTTTCTTAACTGTTAATTACAAAGCATCAGGACTTATAACTGCAATTTTACAAAGAGTAGCAATTATGGCACCAAAACTATACAAATTGTGCCTTTCTGGCAAGCTGCACCTGACTGAATAATTGTTTTCTCTTTTTGTGCTTACTTTTGACTCGTATCTAATACTACTCTGACTCTGACATCAGAAATAAAGGATCATAGTGCTCAATCTCCAAAATAAAAACAAGTAGATCGGTAATGCATAAAAATCCTCAGCACTTAAAATTACAATTGTTAACAATTTTCAACAGATGTACTCTGAATCAGTGTGGATATTTTGGTTAGAAGAGAGCTAATACATTCTTTCATGTCATCTGTAGTCATGTTTCAATTTTGTGTATACAGAATTACACATGATTACATGGAAAATTCCACAAATGCTTCAAGCAAGATATAACTTCTCAGTAAGAAACCTGTGCAAAGTTATCACAAATGCCCTAGAATTTAATTAATGAGAAGGTTTATTGTTGTATGCGCATACATACACAAAAACAGATTACAAATGATCTACAAGCTCACAGCGTTTCCAACAGTCTGAAGTTGAATAACTCCATTCATGTTGTTTTCTGTATAGCTGTCTTGAAGAAGACTAGATTAAGACATAATGAACACTGAAGTCAAATCTGATGGATTTTCTGGAGTATTAGTATTGAGCTTACCTGATACCATCACTCTCTAAGTGCAGAAACAGATCACTGTAGTGTGGTAGAATTTTGTTGTGATGTTGAGCAAAAATGTTTTAAAAGCATGTAAATACATTCAGGAAAAAGCTTCTCTTAATCCATGAAGAATTAAGAAATATTGCACAAAAATTCACAAATGATTATATGCTCATAGCAGTGTAAATGCTATGTATCTATGTTTTTGTTTTCCATATCTGTTCATTGCCACAAATTCATAGTTTGACAGAAGTAGCTTGAACACAAAAGAGCGTAAGATAAATCTGAATGCAATATTAGTGAAGAAAAAATTAACACTGGCTTCTGGAAATGCCAGTCCTGCTAAAATTCAGTCATTACAACTTTAGTTTCCCCACATAAAATGCTCAGTGAGCATTTACAAGAAGATATGGAATTCCTGCACTACCAGACACGTTCAATGGAAATCTGTCTCTCTCATTTGACTCTGTGGGCTGCATCTGGACCCATCTACAGATAAGTGAGATTTTCTATTTAAAAAGATTCAAAAAAGACTATTGTGAAAACAACTTTGAATGAAGAAGTGGAAGAAGTGGTGCAGGCAGAGTGCCTGGATGACTTTTATGTAAACCAAGAGGTCTGAAGATACATCCATCTGAAATGAAAATACTTAACTAGCATGATCAGGTTGTATTCTGTTAATTTAAAAACTTAAGATTTCTCTTCTTCTCCAAGCCATAAAAACTCATTTAATAAGAAAGATTCCCATAGAATTAAAAGGCAATTTTTTAGATACAAAATTCAAACTCAGTAAACTAAAAATAGGTGCAAATTGAGTTACAGGCATTTCAGGGCAAGAGGAGAGGATGGCTTGCCTTTTTTAAGATCAGAAAATCTGAACATTATAAAATCTGGTCTGAGCAACTGAGTAACGAAAAATTAGTTATCTGGGGCTTGAATGGAACTATGACCAAAATTATCAAAATTATCAACAAGAAAATAATTGAAGTAGAGAGCTGCAGAGCTTTTACAAATCAAGCTTCAAATTGTACTGAGGAATTAACACATAATTTAATGGAGGAAAGATTTTTCTGACACCATCCTTTAAGATCACTTACATTGCTTACTGTTGAACAAGATAGATTGAGCTTCTGTCTATAGCATCCCTCAAGAGATGAGTCCCCTGTATGTTATTTAAGAAAGGAATTCTGCTAGTAGAGTTTGTATCGTGGGAGATAATATGAGAGATGTAAAATGACTAATACATTGATTAGCCATCATCTGATTCCTACCTAAGTGTTATTGTTTCTGGAAATATCTGAATTCACTTTCTTGAACTAGAGGGGCTAGTTGTTTGTTTTGTTGTAGTCGTTGTTCTTGTTCCAGCATGATGGAATCATTTTTGGTTCTTGACTTCACAAATTTCTGTGGGTAAACTAAATTACAGCGCATTTTGTAGCAAACGTTCAGTAGAAGCATAACTACTATTGATGCCCACATTTATTCAACTTCTCCTTGAATGGTCATCTGACTTGCTTAGTCACTCCTACCTTCTCTCCACAGCAAGTGTTAGGAACATATTTACTTGAGTGACAAATATGGATTTACAGCTTCCTTCCATATATAAAATATCAATGTAGATGCTTTCCTATCCAATCAGCCAAAGAATGGACAAAAGCCTTTTGTAAGTAATGAGATTTTTCAGAGTATGCTCCACATGAAACATAAGGAAAAATTCATCAGAGCACAAGAGTGTCTAATAGAAATGGATGAAAAAAATCAGTCACAGTTATTGTTTGAGTAAACAGTTCTGGTAAGTTAGGGAAGTAGACTTTTTTTTTCTTCTTTTTTTTCTCTTTATTTTCTTTTCCTTTTTTTTTTTTTTTTTCTCTCAGAAGGAAAGAAAAAGTGTTTTGGTTCTCCTTATTTCTTTAAATAAGTGAAAAAATCATTTCACTGTCTATTTATGATGTAATCAGTCCAGAAAGTAGTGTCTTTTCAGGTATTTCTGAAGTTGGACAAAATGTGTATTACACCACTTACCAGAATGCACTGCTGGAAAAAAGAAAGCAGTTTTAATGCAATAATTAATTGATATAGTTATTATAATGCACAAATCTTACTAGTACTGGCAGGATGCTGCACATCTTCTATGGGGAAATCAGCAGCTGTTGCCAAGATAACAGTTGATGTAGGGGAACTTTCATAACCTGCATGAAATGGATGAATCATTACTATTTCATTAGCTGAGGTGTAACTCATTACTCACAACTACTTCAATTATTCTATATTGAAAGCTTTGTTCCTTCATTTACTGAAGAGAAGATACAGAATAGGTTTTTCACACAATTCAAACTCAAATATTCTTATTTTAGTAACGTAGCAAAGATAATACCAAAATAAATAATTTCAAAAGGTACATATATTACAATGATAATGAACTATCTATCAGTGATTTTCTTGTGCGATTAAAGCCCTGACTGTACATGTGTGGCATCTGCACAGGAAATCTAGAGCAGCAAGTGATGTTATTTGTACTCCCCTCTTTATTGAGAAATATTCTGAGCTTTAGCCTAAAGAACTAAACTGTAAGTAAGCAGAGCTAATAGGAATTGTCATGGCTAGCAATTGAGCTACATGGCATACACCCGGAAGAATGGCTCTGGTCCTAATTTCTCAGATAGAAAATGTTAGGATTTACCATTTATGATGTGAATCACATAGAAAAACAAGTAGAAGATTCCATTAATATACTGCGAAATATACAATGAAAAGCTATTTTATAATTCTAATATATATAATTTATAATGTCCATGTTTTAGTTTATATTTTTTTTAAATGTCAGGATTAATGGAGGATGATGATGCAGACTACTGGCATCCTTCACTGGTAAGTTGTTGGCGATTTGATAGAAAGCCTGTGGCCAGAGGTCACATAGTAAACATCATTGTACTTAAGGTATATTTGTTTCCCTTAGGCTCAACGGGAGCTGGTATTTTAGACCTCTGATCATTTCCAGTACACAAGCAACATAAAAAACAAAACTAAGTATTCGGCATCTTCACAAGAAAGCAAAATGCAGGCAAGATACCTTAATTCACTGATTTTCCACCCTGCTGAATGCCCTAGAAATGAGTATAGTATTTGTATTTGGTAACACTTCAGAAAATTAGAATATATTCTACCACCTAAAGGAAGAAGATATTACATTTTAATTTGAACTTCTATCACTTTATGTGTTGTGAATATGCTGTAGTAAGAAGACATTCTAAAAAATCCCTGTATTTGTTCAAAGGGAAGTCACTTGAACTGTATACCATTCCTTTTATTACTTAGTATCAATCCACTCTATTAGAGAACAGATAAATATATGTCATCCTATCTCTAGATATTCATAAGCATTGGCTCACTAACCTATCTGCTTTCACCGCTAAACATGTTTTTGATTCTATAACTGAAATCAGTATTTTATCAAGGACATTAGCAAATTCCTAGGACAACTATTCTCAATGTCCTGGGAAGACGTTGATGTTTCCAAACTATGCATATGTATAGCTGCTTTGTACACCCATGCAAACAAACAAACAAACAAAAAAAAAAAAAGAAAGAAAGAAAGAAAGAAAGAAAGAAAGAAAGAAAGAAAGAAAGAAAGAAAGAAATTAGAAATTCAGTAAGTTTCTGTGTTGACTTTTTTTTTGCTTGTTTGTTTGCTTTTTTTTTTTTTAGCCAGAAACACACTTTTCTTTTTACTTCCCAGTGATATAAATTAGAGACAGTGCTTCCCTTTCACTCATGATATCATTTACTTCACAATGCAGTTCTTCACACAGTTTTTATAAAAGGGATATAGTTGCATCCTATTGTCCTTACCGTATTCTTTCACATGCAGGTCTTTTTCACCTCCTCCAGAAGAATGATCTGGCAAATGTGAGATAGGAGTAACACTTCCATAATATGAGGGAGTTGACCTCCTGACAGAAGTATCCCCTGGAGTTGTGTCATGCATTGATCCACTACCTAAATTTTCATCATCCACACCTGAGGTTGAGGAGTCTCCACTATGACGTGTGCCATCTGCATTATAACGTGAGCCATCCTCATTGTCAATAACTGTTGGAAAGAGTAAAAAGGGCAGCTGTTGATAACCAGGAGGTACACAGCTACATTACAATTATGATAGACAGCTGTGTCTTAGAACAACAAAGAAGTAAAAATAAACAGTTCATCTGTTTTTTTTTCATCTCATCCAATCTACCTAGATCATCGCTTAAGGATGTGCAACGTCTTACTGTTTTAATATACATAACTGTCAAACATATGGCGGCTACTCTGATTCAAATAATTTGAAATTTTATTCAGATAAGTTTGTGTTTGAACATAAGATCTTGGCTTCTGTGAAGTCAACAGGAATATTAGAATGTAATCTATTATGAATGAATATTTTCCCCCACTTCTGGCTGCTCTTCTAACCAGAAATTTAAATGAATATTGAGGGGTTGCTGTCTTAAACAAAGACCTATAGGTTAAATAAACATTAGCAGCTCTGTTCAAAAATGTCAAATAAAACATGCCTCCTAACACCTTGAGACAAACTAAGCCCCATATGATTTATAGGAAGATGAGTGATTAATCATTTTAACTACCTACAGTATATCTATACATCTTTTTCTTGGTTGGCTTGATCTTTAAAAACAATTGTTTATGTGGAAAAAAGATAACCAAATTCTAAAAAATGAAAAAAAAATAAAAATAAAAATGGCAAGGCTTTCTGGTAAGTACAATACCTATTTCACTCTGGTTGCTGAGGAAAGAGGTATCTATTCTTTCAACTGGCTCGCATGCTTTGCTCCTTGATTCTGAAAAAGAAGGAAAATAGAAAATATTAATTTAAGGAAAATGCGAAAAAGTCTTGTATATACCACTATTAGTTAGACTGAAAGACTTATTAAAAATAACCTATTGGAAAGCTTGCTTTATACTCCTAAAAATCACTTGATCCTCTTCTAATTGTTGTGCTTTTAGATAGAGTTGAAGATGGCGATGTTTGATTTCGTCCCTCACCTGACAATCCAGAAAACTTCCCAGAAAATTTCTAAAATTGTACGTAATCACAGAGATAGATCATTAAGTGTGCTGATACTATAGATGCACTTCCGGAGGCTGACAAAATGTATTTCTCAGTTGAGAAACAGGTTCTATTTAATATGGAATACCTCATTCTAGCACCTTAAATAAGAATTACATGTCATGGTTATTTAATTTATATACAAAACATCATAAACATACAGACATACCTGTTGCATTGTAACAATATGCATCATACCGGCCAGTTGTATTTGCTGAAAGTTTGTAAATGCCTGTATGATTCGCTGCACAAAGATGATATGGATTGATTCGTGGGATAACAATATGCCCCACTATAAAACCATACCTGTGAAGTACAGAGGAAAGCACATCATGTATGTGCAACAGCAGATAACAAACACTCAAGATATCTCAAACGTAAAGAAGATACAAATAAGCCATTATTTTCATCCTAAAAAAAAAACAGTGCATGCATTTATGCATAATTTTTGTATGCAGGGAATATTTCTCTCACATGTAGCTATATCAGTCTCCAGCCCATGTAATGTAATGTCCACAGCTAAATCTATTTTAATTGAGGATTTCATTAGCTAAGATGATTGGATCCACAGCAAAGCAGTGAAAATGAGGGGCTAGAAAGCTAAATGTGCTTTTTATTCAGTGAGAGGATGTACCACCTGACACCCATAGTCTGGCTTCCTTTTCCCTACTTTTTACATTAAGCATAACATTCTACCCAGTGCCATTTCATACAAAAATGTTTGGGTCTCAGTGTTACAGTACTCTATCAAATTTAGAGAGTGACTGCAAGACACACACAAGTTTCTACTATGCAGATACCTTAGTAAAATATTCAGATACACCAGTCATTCATCCGCACGTTCCTACTGTTTCTTACAGAGGAAAAATATGGCAACTGTGTACAGAGCTTGCACATTTCAGTGAAGACTGTGGTTAACAGAGTTCCAGAATGCACAACACGTTGGTACTATTTTGCAATCCTGTAACACCTGATGAATTCCAACGTATTTAGCTTGAAGGGATGAAAGAATGGTAATGAAACTGTGGCTTTATTCTGGTTTTTGCTTTACTTCTTAATATGTACAGTCATCAGGAGAAATACATTTCATAGCTTAGCAGTTTTTTAATCTGTGAGCTCTATTCCAGTTGCATGCATAATGTACAGAGTTAATTGCAATTCTAAAATTCTGTTGTAGGTAGAATTATAAACTACTTCACCTCCACTTCCAACTAATCCTATGATGTTGACAATGTTTAATCTGTTAATCACCTTCTCTTCTTATGATCTGTTGATTCAGCTTACTCACCATTCCACACATATTTTAGCTATTTCATACTATCATTTTTTCTCTCCTACTCAAGCTTGATAAGAGCCTAGCTCTACTGACAAGGACTTCTGACACAGCATCAGCAAATAAGAGGGTCGGAGGGCTGGCAGGCAGGGAGGGAGGGAAGAACCCTATCTACATGCCTTACATATCCAAATTTGTCCTTTGCTAAGATATGAACAAGTTCAATGATCAATTCAAGAATGCAAATTAAAATTGTGAGGAAATGTACACGGAACTTTTCTATGCCAGTGAATAATGAATTCAATTCTTCAATATTTACTGTTTATTTTAATTTTTTATACAGTTAAAAGCTACTCAACATGAGTCTGCTATGTGATCAGGGAAAAAAAACACCACAGAAAACCCCTTCAAATTTACAACTCCCCAGGTCAGCCTCTTTCGAATTTGAATGTTTAGGTTGACTTGTGCAATAATGTACTAGGTCTTTTGTAAAACAATGCCACATGATTTTCTAGTCTGACCTATTTACAGACCGCTGGACTACCCTGAGCTAGATGTCATCTTTGGGGCAAATATGCAGACTTGATGAAGCTTAGATGAGACAAAGAATCTGTTCCAACACTTGTCTTTTAAGTCAAAATTATCATCAACTTTCAATGTCTTTGTGTATATTTTGCTAAGCTAAGGAATTCCTATTATTCACATTTGTTTCCCCATAAAACATTAATTATAAGGGGTAATTGAGTTACTTAACAATGTATTTCTATCTTTTTCTCTTTCTTTCTTTCTTTTTTTTTTTTTTCTGAAACTTCTCTATCCATATCATTTAAGAATGTACCAACACTGTCACCAGTTCTTCACTGGAAGTCAATAATTTTTCCCCAACAATGCTATTTGATGCTCTTTGTGTTGACTGACAGGAAAAAGAGTTCCTCACATTATGCGTACCATTGACTCTACATCAGGTTCATTAAATATAACAAATATTTTGTATGTAATTGCTTTACCAATTAGCCAGTGACACAGCGATGATCTGAACATCACCCTTAATGGTTTGTTATGCTCTCAATCTTCTACTATCTTTACATTTTATCTGGAGGAGTTCATGATTTCTTCAAGATAGTTGGTAAGAAGAATATGCAGTCAAAGACTTATTGTAGAACCCAGTGCAAATGTACATGTGCCGAAAGATGGTTTGCTCATCACATAATATAACTTACTTCAGTAATGACATGGCCATCTAATTAGCAACAACAGTAATTATTTCACTATGGATGGCCTTGTCACAATACATAATTTTTCCCCTCAAATTCTTTACCTGCACGTTTCAAATCCAAGTTCATGAGCTCTTTCAAATTGCTCCAGTGTTGCCAAGGTACTGTTGAGAGCTCTACAGAGCTCAATTGCTTCAGTTCGTGTGAGACTGTAGCGACCATTTTTCTCCACATGAAACACTCCTCCATATCTGCAACTTACATTGAATTCTGTGATTGAAAGAAAAGAGAATTACAAATTATTGGACTTGATGCTTCACTGAGGACCTGAAATTGATTTATTTTCAAGTACAGCTCATTCAGTGCAAGCCAGCAGCAAACAGCAGATATTAATTCATTTAGAAAGAGATTTGGCACTTTAAACTAGATCACTTTCTCCATATTTTTCTTCCTTGGGCTTGGCAACCTTTCAAAAAATGCAAAAGTGCAAGTCCACCAATACAGCATGCTTTATCATCAACAATAATAATGCAGAAGATACAAATATGTTGTGAAAATCTTTGAGACTTTACTGCAAAAAAAAAAAAGAAACTAATATTCTAATGTATTTGAAAATATTTATTCAAAGCAGAATCGTTTAAAGATGAAATTATAGTATAATCAAAACCTTTATGATCATAAGGTTTCTTCTTTATCTCATTGTGACCCTATTAAAGCCATGAAACTGCACTGGGAATCTACCTGATATGAAACCGAAGAGAACTGCACAGACATTCTGAACTAGAACAACATAACACTGTTAAATACTCCCAGAAAAGCAAGCTTTAGGCTCTTCTTATTCTACCAGCAAATAAGAGAAATCTTGGCCATACATAATGTGTGAGGACACATGAACCAACCTCTCGCTCCGTGTTCCTCAGTTTTGACAGCATTTCCCTTCATTTTGAAAGACTTCTGCTTGCTGCACTCTGAACTCACTCTTGAATACAAACATGCTATTGTCAACCCACGTTAGAATTTCAATATATACTGCAGTAAGTTTTTTTAGTAGTAAAAAGTGTATTAGATGAGTTTCAAATAATACTGTGTATGTTTGCACATGGAATTATCTTTAGAAGACAAGCAGTATGAGAATAAAGTAATGAATAAGTTTAAAATAATATTATGGGTGCCATAGCTCTATTGTGCAATTCATTTCCCGGCCTTCACCCTGAATAAGAGGTACATGCAAAGCCTACGGGAGGGGAATGTCTCATTCAAGTCACTACAGACACTGAATGAAAGGCAAAAGGGTTGGAGGCTCTGAGGAGATTACCATCCGCTCCTCTCTGTTGGAAAGATGCTGCCTACACAGTTCAACAGCTGAAGAATGAAAAGACTGTATAATCAAAACTAAGTCTGTGCCTGAGTAAAATGAGAGGAAATATGAACATCTGTTGGTTGTCCTTTTTTTTTTTATTTTAGCAAAAACTGTAAAGAAAGAGTTAAAAATAATAATAACTTCGATATAGAAAACATGGAAAGATCAGGATGCTTCAAAGCAACGTGAAATAACTTTGTTCCTGCCCCACCTTTCCCTCAAGAGAAAAGTGTGGTAGCAACTCCAGACTAGAATGACAACTGCAGAGCATGCTTAATAGGAGTGGCCTGATATTCCTAGCAAAGAGAGGAGCATGAATCACTTATAATTTCAATGGGAATTCCACGTGCAAGAAAAGGGAAAAGGGGTGTCCGCCCCATCTATTTGAAATAGAAGATGCCATACAACAGCTGCTTTCCCAAAATATCTCAAATACACTTCATGCTCTTTTTCATTGACACATTCTATGTGAATAGTCAGCAACCTTCCTAACACCATTTTTGCTTGATGGTCTACCTTTGTCTAAAGCTAAGATGTGAAAGCTAATGATAGTAATCAAGATGCACACATTCTCCCCTTACTTTTGTTCACCGGCAAACTGAGGTTATTGTATCTACAGTGTATCTACTCACTGCTCCTACATATTCACAAGGAGCAAGGAATGCTCCTGTCCACAGGTAACAGGAAACAATCAAGGAGATAAAACAGCAGATTAAATCCAGACTGTGCAGCTTATCGGAAGACAACGACCATGCACAAGATAAGTAGCATCCAGTAGTATTGGTGGCAACTCATCCAAAGGAGCACAATAGCTGTGCATCCAATCTTAAATGTTTTTACTGTAGGTAATAGAATTAATCCTTATCATTACTTGGACTGCATTTCCACAAAAAGGACGTCAGAAATCTCTCTCCCACTCCATTACCACAGAATTATATACACTGAGAAAAGCACTTCATGTGTACAGAATTGATACAGGTTACATTTGTACATTTGATAACATTTATTAATAGTTCTAATGACTTGTAATCCAAAAATACCAAGGCAGCACAAATTATAGTTTTACAAAATTTCTGCAAGTCTAACATGTTTTCTCAAAACGTCTTTTTTGGCACATGTTTTCTTCCGGGGAAAAATAGTTTTATTAAACTTTCTCTGATGACAGCCATGTCACGAGAGGTTTTTAAGGCAAGAATGAAGAGCTGGTACAGAAGGAAGAGAACACAAACAAATGTACTTTTTTTCTCTGGAAGACTTAATATTTCGCAACAAGTCTGAGTTTCCCAGTCTAAGGAGAAGCAAGTAGATTAACATAAAATGACAGCCTCAGCAACAGAAGCCTCAGCACAACATGCTCAAAAGCCGTCAACACAACGTGCCTGTAACTCACAACAAATGTACTCAACAGGCATTTGTGTTGTAGATCCCAACAGATATTTTCTCATGACAGCACAACTAAGAGCTACTCCGTGCAGATGGTTGTGGCCCATGGCTTCAACTATGAGATGGAGCCGCTCTCATTGCTGCCACCTGAGTGACTTTTACTCCAAATATTCCTGATTTGAAACCTGACATTATATGGGAAGTTGTCTAACGAGCAGCTATATTAAGCGTAAATAACTCAGATGGGTCTTCTCTTTACTTTTCCCTTTTTATCTCTCTCTCCCCTGTAGAACAAGACAGGTTGATGTTTCCTAATAAATAAGCATACTCTGTGAAGCTCTAGATCACATTATGTTTTAAGGTCATATCACAAAGATGTATAGTTAGAAGTAACAAATTCAGTGATTTTGGAACTAGGTTTTTTTGGAACATCAACATTTCTTCCAACAACTTCAGTTTCATATCTGAAGAACTTCTGCTATGAAGGCAGATTTCCACATCCCCTTGTTTTGGATTACATTTGAATCCTGCAGCTTATAATAGATTCGCTGAAACATTAAATGAAGTTCACTTCTGTTTAAAGGGAATTTGATTCAGTTGTCACCAAACTTCAGTCTACTCATGGCTTTTAAACATTATAACATAGGTGCTGTTACCACCCAGAGATCCAGTCACTATTGGAATCACTTTTTAAGGCAGTCAGTTCCCTAACCTCCAACTGCTGAGGATAAATAGGCTTATTTACACAAATAAGCTTAATAGAACTACTTGTAGGGTACAGCTCTGCACACGCATGTTTCCTATGGAAATGCTGAGCTTGGCCCAACACTGTACATCCTGCACACCAGGACGCTTCTGGTGAGCACCAGGCGCAGTGCACGTGTTCTGAACATCTGCACTGCAGAAGGACTGAGGCTCCCAGGAAGCCGTATCCATGCAATGCGTGAGATCATATGGCAGGCCAGGAAACACCAGGGACACATGTGGCAATCTCATTTGCAAAACTGGTTTTGAGGCCATTCTCTTAGCTGGCACTTTGCCCTAAAATAATGTTGAGATGAAGAGCTTTGTTCTTATTTTGACTATATCTTCTAAACCTGCTATTAAAAGTGTCTGCAACACTATTGCAGCGCAGACATGTTTTTGAAGCGGTGGGTATGAAAAAAGTGATGCCTACAACTCACATAATGTTTTATAGCCTCAACACATTGTATAAATCCAGTATCTCCTCTGTGAAGGCAATAATTTCCACATTTTAAATATGGCAAACTGCAGATGCAAAGGACACTGACCAGAACTATGCAGTCAGCCAGGGAACCTGGAAATCAAACTCCAGAGTTCTTACATTATGGCTCCACATCGTGTGCCAGACTATTACTGATCCCCTCACTGCATATGAAGTTTCAAAGGAGCTGATTCAGAGTGGACTCAGAGCAGAAACATAACAGGCACCCAAACCTTCCCTACTGCCCCCTCCTATAGGTTGGCAGTCTTTGAGGGCTGACAGGCCATGATTTGTCCATGACACCCACATGATTTGCTGCTGCTGAAAGACAACATTGTTTAATAACATCTCTTAAAAAAGGAAAAAGGACTAAACATGCCTGAATTGTCATGATCATTAATCTCATCCAGACCATGAGACTTGGCTGACTCAACTCAAAGCCATGGAATGCCCTTAAGCTTGCACTGAATTTTATAAAGCATGGAAAACATTAACACAAGTCATTTCTCCCTTCCTTTCCTATGACTTCTGGTGCTCTGCCTCTCTCTCCAGCTCTTCCTTTTTGTTAATATTTTTTTTTTTTTGTCATGAACAGACACTCAGAAAACAGCTGCGAGTTCTTCTTCAGTAAACCCTTTAAAGCTATTACCAATCCTGTATCTAAACCAAACTCAATTACTGATTTTCAGCCCAGATTACTATCCTTGTTCTCCTGAGAATTTGCCAGCTAGACCCCACTGTTGTGATATAACTAGATGAGATAGACTAAAAAGCCTTCTTGTCCCTTCATGAAATTGTGAGTTACACCCCATTTGTTAATACCAGAGACTTGTTAGAAGCTGTCACCATAAGAAGCCAGGTGCAATTCCATTTCCATCCTGGTTCTGCAACCCTTACTCACAGTGAGTAGTGCTGACACATGTAAATTTTTCCCACTATAGTAACTTCTGCAGAAAGATGTTTTATGTACTGTGTGGATGGTTCATGCACTTCTTTCTTCTCTTCATTGCTTTCAGGAGAAAACCTAGTGGTTTCATTCTCAAGGTGGATAATGACTCTCATATATATATATATGTATATATGTACTTAAAGGTATATATATATGAAGGTTTTTTAATCACTGCATAGATTCATCAAAGCAAACAAAGTGGAAGACCTGTGAAAACCTTGTTTCACTTTACAGAAAACCTGTAGAAGAACATCAGCTTGTTAATCATCTTCTTGGTAAAACCGCTGTGTTTATCACTGCATGGCAACAAAAAGGAAACATTAGTATGCTGTTCTCAGGGGGATTTTCCTCTT